TGGCTTAGGGCCGGGGGCCCCTCTCTCGCTTGGCTGCACACCGGGCGTTTAGGCTGAAATACTCGCTTGATATAGTGCCGTAATCCTTTTCTCATATTTGATGGGAATGTTTTCCACGTCCGAGTATTTGACAACATCTCCCCATAGGGCCAGGTTCGCATTTATGTTAGCAAACCGTCCCCTGCCTGAAAGTCTATTGTAACCCAACACCTGACAACCCCGGTTCCCATTTCTGCTCGCAGAAAAGGTTTATTCAAGCACATAATGGGATCCCAGCAGAAAGCTTTTCAGAAGAAGGGGCTATGGTAAACTGCACCACATGAACTCCGTTTCCAGGGCTATTAAGCTTTTAATTGGAAAATAGCAGAGGAAATTTCAAGGTGACTATAACGTGTTAGCAGTTAGCGCCCAGAAGAATAGACTCAAAGAGAATGAATGTGCGAAACATATGCTCCAAATAACACTTAGCGGAAAGGGCCTGGCTCCGCTAAAGAGCGAGGCTTTCCGAGAAACACCGACGGACCGGGCAGAGGCGGGGGGCGGGCTGGAAAGTCAAAATCGGCCCGAATCCGCTGGCGTTTCGCTACTTTTCGATGCGGAGCCGTCCCCAGGCACCTGTCCACTGTAACCACTACAAGAAATAAACCATTTAACGAGGGTACGTAATTAGAAAATCAGATTTAAAACTCGGGAAGTATTTCGCCGGAGAGAATAAAAAGCACGGCGTGTACTATGAAGGTATTTGCGTGATATTTCATTACTTGGCTCTTTCCTAATTACTTTTTTACTTCTAGGGGAAGAGCGACTCAGGGAGATCTTTCTCCCCAGGGCTGTGTGCGGGGTGTGAGGGTAGATGAGCGCCCCGTCGGAAACACCCTCTGCTGCCAGTTAACCGCACCGAGGCGGGGAGGTGAATCGGATCAGGTGCGGGGAGCAGCCCGTTTTCCCGCAGCGCCGGTGCGATCTTCCTTTCTTTGCTGCCGGGGTGCGTGCACCGCACCGCACCCGGGCAGCGCTGCAGCCCGCCGCACCGCGAACCGGCCTCACCCGCGGGGCATCTTACACACTCGCGGGTCCCCGTCGGGGGGAGAAAAACAAACCAGCGGTGCCCCCTCCGCGGGCCGAATAAATATTCAACTATCTCGAAATTCCA